ATAATAATAACTATCCTAACTCATGAATCAACTCGCTGAGTTTCTTGCCGGATCTTAGTAGATCTCCGGTAGTAGATTCATTCGCGAAGCAGCTGCTCTTGAGTTATGTCTCCTTCGGAGGCACTCGAGTAGCTGTTAGCAAATCCCACCCCTCCTGGCTGAGCCTTTGCTCGCCCACCTGTCCTGGTGAAACTCGGAAGGCCTCCGGGCCACCAGTAATCGTTCAATCAAAAAAATATAAAAAATAACTACCATTAACAATTACTCTGGAACGTTCGATAAATGACTTCAGCAACTTCCTTTAAGCCTTAACAATTACAGTTGAAAATACTTTCGAACGCAAATCACTGAACACAAATCATTCGTCACGTGTTCCGAACTCGTCCTTATTCTGTAACTCGAAACATCGATTCCAAATCGTTTCGGAATCGATTAGACGTCTGATCACGTAATTCGGCACGCGTCGAACCACGAGCCCCGGGCATTAACTCGCCAAATATGCAGTCAGTGATTGTGTACCTTCAAGCGCATTTGGTTAAGGGAAAAAAACGTTTTGATCTCTTCGAACCTGGATGTGTACAGTACAAAAATCTGTCCAAAGAAATAGAAATGCGGTAATTCTCATCAATTACTTCACCAAATTTCATTCCATAGTTGTCGTAAAAGGCTATTAAAGATTATTATACCAGTACATTGCAATCACGAATCTGCGTTTACTGATGGTATAGTTTTTTTAATTATTTTTTAATTTATTTCTTAGATGGGTGGATGAGCTCATAGCCCACCTGGTGTTAAATGTCTACTGGAGCCCATAGATATCTACGACGTAAATGCGCCACCCACCTTGATATATAAGTTCTAAGGTCTCAAGTATAGTAAATGTGGAATAGCCTACATATATGCAATGTAATTGAGACTTCGACCTGAATCGATAATATCTGAATGAAGGTGGATAGCGTCATTCAAGATGTGGCCAATATATAAAAGCGAGGATCATTAACCACTGAGTAACGCGACCATCAAAATGATATAAAATGTAGTTAACAATAAATATTTCCGTATTTCTATAACATTGATATTATATCGATCATACGCCGAGTCACGTAGCTGGGAGCGCGTGCCGCCCTGCACGAATGTCAGAATTTGCATATCGAATGCATTGACATGTAAATTCACAAAGAGTAGCGTCTCGAACGCAATAACCTGCTTTAATATGTGCGTTATTATTTTTCAAAATGAAACCTCGTTTTGGGTTTATTGTGCATCTACTTATTAGAGAGAGAGAGAGAGAGAGAGAGAAAAGATTTGCAAGCTTATGGAAGCAACGTTCGTACCAAAGCTTCTGTTCTGTGCAATAAAACTTACTATAAAGTCAATAATTATCTAGAAGATTTCACAAAGTGGGAATGAGTTGCTCGCTCCGGGCATTTCAATATTGCAATAATTGTTACGTTATAATACTCATTGTAAAAATGAATATTTAAAAAAAAATCTATTATTTAAAAAAAAAGACATGCCCGCTGAGTTTCTTGCCAGTTCTTCTCAGGACGGAGACTAGTTATTGTGAATTGGCGGTAGTTCTTTTTGACTTTCAACAATTATGTACTTTCATTTTTGTTGAATAATATTTTTTTTATTTGATTTGATTTGATTTGAAAGACTAAATACTAAGCTGTACTGCTTGGTTTTTAGCCTTAAACCAAAGGTTTGAAAGGTCTGGGTCCAAAGGGGTTTTGGTTTCTTTCCTGTACCATATTATTAAATTCAAAGTGGTTGGTAGAGACTGGATGAGAAAGGCAAGAGACCGAAGACAATGTGGAGTGCATTCGAAGAGACCTACACTCAGCCTTGGGTTGGGACACAAGTTGAAGAAGAGATTATTACATTCCATGGAAAGTGTTTCTAACATCGCCCTATTGGCCACTATAGCAAAACTCATCCCTACTACCAGAAAATCACCTCATTAATAAATTCTCGAAATCATTATCTGAATTGAACTCCTCTTTTCTCTGTTTTCTGAGCGCTGCGATATGTCCTTTTCCAAGTGAGGCTTGTAAAAAATCATTTACCGTAGGAAGCGTCTTAGCTGTGCCTTTGACATTCCTAATGTTGTTGTGTGATGTTGATTACTCTCCTTCATTTGGATCTGGTCTATCTTCTAAACTATCTCGACGGGTTTCCCTTTGTGGGTGATTTTGCAACGGTGATTACTTAAGCATTGACAGAGCTTTACCTGATTCACTTGACTAGTGTATAAAAACACTTCATAGTATACGGCCGCAGCCTATCTCCTGACTTGAACCGGTACTCCAAAACTCAAAGGTTCAAATACCTTTAACAAAGGTTCCGACTATTTATCGAATCTGCACGCGTTGCGGGCGACTCCTAACTGCCGAATCACGAGCTGATCAAGTTCATTGAAAGCAAGCAAGTGACCAAAACCGCAATTTATAAATCACGATTGAGTACCGTATACAATTATTATGTTCAAACTTTATAACCACTGAAACTCGGTAACAAATTATCTTTCTACTAATAACTACATCAAAGAATATCCAACAACAAAATGATTAAAACAAATTTACTTTACCGAACACACATCCGGTTGAAATAAGTTTACTATGCCGGTAACTATGCCGATTCATCACGGCCGCAAACATCAACTAGTTCACGAACAGAAGCCGTTTGATGTGGCGGCAATAAGATTTCCCTTTAAATAATTCGGTTTCTGCAAACTATTTTGGGAATTCGGTTTGAATCTCGTTCTGTATTACAAACCTAACTCTGCAATACACATATGTACGTACTGAGAACTGTAAATTTATATTTTTTTATTGCCCTTGTAGGCAGACGAGCACACGGCCAACCTGATGGTGAGTGGTTACCGTCACCCATAGACTTCAGCAATATCAGGGGCAGAGCCAAGCCGCTGTCTACCGCTTAATACTCTCCACAAGCTTCGTTTGATGAAGGACGTGTCATAGCGTTCGGGAAACACCGTGGAGGGGAGCTCATTCCATAGCCGGATGGTACGTGGCAAAAAAGACCTCTGGAAACGCACTGTGGATGACCGCAGTGGCTTCAGGTAGTATGGATGAACTCTACTCCGGTGGCGGGCGGTGCGATGGTAAAAACGAGATGTCGGTATCATCTCGAACAATTCCTCAGAGCACTCCCCATGGAACATACGGTACAAAATGCAGAGGGAACTGAAGTCCCTCCGAAGACCCAGAGGTTCCATGGATAGTGCAGTAAACAATCGTGTGAATACATTTTATTTTTAGCGCCATCTGTTATTAGTAAGATAAAACTGTTTTAGTTCATTATTTTTACTAAGTGATACAATTTTAATATAAGTCCGTGTAAATTGAAATCATATTCGAATTATATTATTTAGATAGGAGATACGCTTAGTTGAGATAAATTATCGCTATTTAAAATACAAGGGTAGTTGGATAAAAATCACAAGTACATTTATGACGTAGCATATCGCGTGTAGCAAAGTAAAAACCATCTAGTATATTTTTATTAACTTGGATTAAACTTTCAAGAGATAACGGAACTTTTTTTTTGCTTAGATGAGTGGACGAGTTCACAGCCCAGCTGGTGTTAAGTGGTTACTAGAGCCCATAGACGTCTACAACGTAAATACGCCATCCATCTTGAGATATGAGTTCTAAGGTCTCAGTATAGTTATAACGGCTGCCCCACCCTAAAAACCGAAACGCATTACTGCTTCACCGCAGAAATAGGTGGGGTGGTGGTATCTACCCGTGCGGACTCACAAAAGGTCCTACCACCAGTTTATTTATAATATTACCACACCACACCTCATCACAAATTATAATTTTGCGGGTTTGATTTTTATTACACGATGTTATTCACTGTGGAAGTTAATCGTGAAGATTTCTTAAGTACGCATTTCATTGGAAAAATTGGTACCCGCTTGCGGGATTCGAACGCCGGTGCATCGCTACATACGAATGCACCGGACGTTTTAACCTTTAGGCCACGACGACTTCAAAACTAATCAAATCTAAACAAATCTAGAACTTAAGATTAATCAGTGGTACATAAGTTAACTAAGGCGTAATGAGAACAACACTCTGCTGTCTATCAAACAAATATAATGAGACTTCATAAAAATGTAATTACAGGCACAAACATAAATACTTATTGCATGAATCTCAAAATTATTGCACTCCACAACACTACATAGTATAAAACAAAGTCGCTTTCTCTGTCCCTATATCCCTTTGTATGCTTAAATCTTTAAAACTACGCAATGGATTTTGATGCGGTTTTTTTAATAGACAGAGTGATTAAAGAGAAAGTTTTATATGTATAATAACATCCATTAAATGGAGAAATCAATAATAAATTACAGTTTCCGAAGCGAAGCGAGGACGGTTCGTTAGTAATTCAATAAGATAGAATTTTTTGAAGTTAAATATATAAATTTTGTTTTTAGATTTTAGAAACCGAAATTAACAGGTTTTTCGTCAACGGTCGCGAGACGACTGTAACCCCAAAGCGGATATCCGGTTTTCCTCAGCATCACCGTCGGTGTTAAATGGCAAAGAATATTTATACAAAAACGAATAAATAATGAAGAGTAATTCGTTTCTGTATATTTCTGTTATTCTACTGGTGGTAGGACCTCTTGTGAGCCTGCACGGGTAAGTACCACCACCCTGCCTATTTTCTGCCGTGAAATAGTAATGCGTTTCGGTTTGAAGGGTGTGGCAGCCGTTGTAACCATACTGAGACCTTAGAACTTATGTCTCAAGGTGGGTGGCGTATTTGTAGATGTCTATGGGCTCCAGTAACCACTTAACACCAGGTGGGCTGTGAGCTCGTTCACCCATCTAAGCAATAAAAAAAAATATTTACTCTTTTCATTAATTATTCTTACTCATTAATTTTCGACTATTTGGTTTTATGCTAGGCTTAACCAATTAATTGGGTGTCCAAAGATTGTAGTTACAGATTTAACTCACCAACTGGGCTTTCTTCATTCCAAAACGAATCGTCCAGTGTGTAATCAGCTTCTGAAACAAAAGAAGTAATATTTATTACTAGCGAACCGCTACAATAGTGTAGTTGCTTTTCTTATGGCTCTTGAAGGCAGGCGAGCGTACGGCCCATGTGGTGGTGAGTGATTATCGTCGCTCATGGATATCAGCAATACCAAGGATAAAATCAAGGTGCTGCATCATCTCGATGAGTACTCTCCATAAGCCTCGTTTGCAGAAGGACATATCATAGAGCTCGGGAAACACCTAGGAAATCATTGGGATTGGATCATCTCAAACGATTTCTCAGAGCACTCCCCGCGGAGCGCAGAGAGAACCTAACCTAACCTAAAATTAGCTGTGCCGATCCCATCTAGAGTGATAAGGTGGAGAAAAAGAAGATATGTACTGTGGTATACATCAGGGTGGTCCTTATTAAGGGTTTGTCTGAAAAAATGTTCACGATGTCCTAAATAGATCCTAAATATATTTACAAAAATCATGTAAGTTATAGCTCTTCATTTTAATTTTATATTTATAGCCACAAGCCAAACAACAATTCATTCTGTTACAACAATCAGCAAACGGTCACATTCATCATAAAACAATCACTTTATATTTTTTTATAAATATATGTATATGTATTTTTATAATCCATAAAGTAATTCGCTTTTGTTTAGGTTCGGAAGGTGAGCCACGAGGTAATTACAATAACAATGACTGGACGATGTTACGGAAGAGTAGGATGGGGATAGGGGTTCGCAAAAATACGTCACTTTCACGAAATACGAATAATATCGCTTCTTTCGTTTTATCAAAATTAATTGTAATTATTGTGTTGCTTTAGTAATTAGCATTATGCTTCGCGTAGGCGTAATGCTGTCTATTAATAAAATATTTCAATTCAGAGAATAAACAGGTTTCGCGTTTTAACAATTTTCTATATTCATCCTGATATTAACACCTCAGTAAATAGACACAGCCCGCTGAGTTTCTCGCCAGATTTTCTCAGTGGGTCGCGTTTCCGAACCGGTGTTAGATTCTGCGAAGCACTGCTCTTTTTAGGACCAGTGCTAGCAACACACCCAGTTTGAGTCCTGTGAGCTCAGCTACACGCCATGAGAAGCTGAAATAGTCTCTCAAGGCTATCAGGATAGGTAGGACAAAAAAAGTACGGAATCAACATCGGCAAAAAAAAGTAATTCAATTTTCGTTTGACGAAAACCATTTCTATATTTAGTGCCATAAAGTTTGACTGACTCGGTGGTGCTGTGGTTAGTGGTCCTATCAGTTGCGCCGAGGGTCGTGGGTTCGATTTCCGCATCGGGCAAACATTCGTGTGATGAACAGGTTTGTTTGCTTTATGTATAAGGTGTGTATGTCAGTCTCTGGTACCTATAACACAGGGAATTCTAATTTAGGGACCTTTAACCGTGCGTGATTTTTTCCCACTTATTTATTATCTATATACATATATAAAATGAATTGCTGTTCGTTAGTCTCGCTAAAACTCGAGAACGGCTGGACCGATTTGGCTAATTTTGGTCTTGATTTATTCGTGGAAGTCCAGAGAAGGTTTAAAAGGTAGATAAATATGAAAATGCTCGGAATTCAAAAAAAAATTGTTTTTAGTTTGATGGATCGGACGGATTCTTTTTGTTTGTTTTAAGCTTATTTTATACAAAAGTTTATTAGGTCTTTTATTTATAGATTGAGGCACTACGAAGTCTGCCGGGTCAGCTAGTTATTAATAATAAAACAACTAAATCGAAACTGCTTTGAATTTACTTCAACTGTCTTATAGCGGTACAAGATGGGCTTACAATGCGCCCAGTAAATTTACGACATTGCTTTCAATAACAGTTGTTATTGATCATGGAAGTCGATCGTGAATGCATTTAAGGTTCGAATTCCTTATGTAAATTACTATCGGTTTGTATTAGGATCCCGTGCATATTACTAGTAAGCTAGTGGTTAATAGTAGTTGTTCAGTTCGGAACGTGATTAATCTAATGAACACTCATTTTCCCGTCTATTTCTAGGATAATTTTATAATAGGCCCTAGGTGAAAGGTATATAGCTATGTACTTGTAAGTTTGTTATATATTACAAAAAAAAACGAAAAGACAATAATGTTTTAGCCATTAAATAACGTTAGAGAAGAAGCCACGTATCTCTCATTACATTAGTAGTAATGACCTTACATTCTTTAAGATTATAATCTTATATAACACCTTACGACCCTAAAAGTGGAGGCTCTTAAAACAATATGATACAGAAAATACGGCCGTTAACTTTTACGATCATAAGTGGAGCTCCGTGAAAAATAATGGCCCGTTTAAAATCGTTATCTAACTTTTATTTTGGTGTTTATATCGGATGAAACTGGTCTCGGGAACGTCTTAGTTTTGAGTAAAAACATTAAAGAATTTGCTTCCCAATCTTTTAGTTTTTTTTTTATTGCTTAGATGGGTGGACGAGCTCAGAGCCCACCTGGTGTTAAGTGGTTACTGGAGCCCATAGACATCTGCAACGTAAATGCGCCACCCACCTTGAGATATAAGTTCTAAGGTCTCAGTATAGTTACAACGGCTGCCCCACCCTTCAAACCGAAACGCATTACTGCTTCACAGCAGAAATAGGCAGGGCGGTGGTACCTACCCGCGCGGACTCACAAGTGGTCCTACCACCAGTAACAAGAGGTCCTACCACCATTAGTAGTAGTACAGTATATGTTTTTATTCTGTTGGTATATCTTTTGGTATGCATACTGTTTACGCTGTCTGCAATGTATACATCACATTAATATTTTTGAACGGAATTACGAGAGCATCGATATAGTCCCGCCCCTTTCCGCTCTTAAATCAATGTCATTATAAAGTCGAGTTTGAATCGTGCGCATCAAAATTGTGCGATCGCGAAAAATAGTAGTGAATATTGAGTGCAGCTAATCAATTACTTAAAAAACTGAAAGAGTTTATCAAGATAAAAAGAAGGAAGACAGGAATGGCCACTCCAGGAAGATAGTGCTACAAAATATTATTATAACTACAAAGACACAGATCTTCGGTGAGTTCCTAACAAATTACTTACCAAGTTTTTATTTTATTTTTATTTATTGCTAAGATGGGTGGACGAGCTCACAGCCCACCTGGTGTTAAGTGGTTACTGGAGCCCATAGACATCCACAACGTAAATGCGCCACCCACCTTGAGATACAAGTTCTGAGGTCTCAAGTATAGTTGCAACGGCTGCCCCACCCTTCAAACCGAAACGCATTACTGCTTCACAGCAGAAATAGGCAGGGCGGTGGTACCTACCCGCGCGGACTCACAAGTGGTCCTACCACCAGTAACAAGAGGTCCTACCACCATTAGTAGTAGTACAGTATATGTTTTTATTCTGTTGGTATATCTTTTGGTATGCATACTGTTTACGCTGTCTGCAATGTATACATCACATTAATATTTTTGAACGGAATTACGAGAGCATCGATATAGTCCCGCCCCTTTCCGCTCTTAAATCAATGTCATTATAAAGTCGAGTTTGAATCGTGCGCATCAAAATTGTGCGATCGCGAAAAATAGTAGTGAATATTGAGTGCAGCTAATCAATTACTTAAAAAACTGAAAGAGTTTATCAAGATAAAAAGAAGGAAGACAGGAATGGCCACTCCAGGAAGATAGTGCTACAAAATATTATTATAACTACAAAGACACAGATCTTCGGTGAGTTCCTAACAAATTACTTACCAAGTTTTTATTTTATTTTTATTTATTGCTAAGATGGGTGGACGAGCTCACAGCCCACCTGGTGTTAAGTGGTTACTGGAGCCCATAGACATCCACAACGTAAATGCGCCACCCACCTTGAGATACAAGTTCTGAGGTCTCAAGTATAGTTGCAACGGCTGCCCCACCCTTCAAACCGAAACGCATTACTGCTTCACGGCAGAAATAGGCAGGGTGGTGGTACCCACCCGCGCGGACTCACAAGAGGTCCTACCACCAGTTATTACGCAAATTATAATTTTGCGGGTTTCATTTTTATTACACGATGTTATTCCTTCACCGTGGAAGTCAATCGTGAACATTAGTTGAGTACGTATTTCATTAGAAAAATTGGTACGCGCCTGCGGGATTCGAACACCGGTGCATTGCTTCAACACGAATGCACCGGACGTCTTATCCGTTAGGCCACGACGACTACAAGTATCATATCGATTGCGCTCTACATATAAAAACTAAAGAACCAAGCCCAAACACATACCGAATAATTGTCTTAGTATTTGATTCATGTTTTACCAGGATTTCAATGCACAAAGCACCAAATCACGTTCAGCTCTAAACACTTACCATGAAATGGCCATGTCCAGATCGCAATGATTTTTAGCTCTAGTCTCAAGTACGACTGCGCTAAATAAAAACTGGAAAATGGTCTTATACTACAACATAGATGCTCCAAACGAGTAAGCTCCATGGGAAAATATTTTCTTTGAATTAGAAAATACTGAAAGCACTAGCCCCGTTTTGAAGCAATGACCCCGAAAGCTCTAAAGTATTCGAAATGTCTTAAAAAATAAAAGAAAAATAATAAATGTTAGATTAAATAAGAAAAATTGTTTTACTGGTGCCAGGACCTCTTGTAAGTCTGCACAGGTACCACCATCCTGCCTATTTCTGCCGTGAAGCAGTAATGCGTTTCGGTTTGAAGGGCGGGGCAGCCGTTGTAACTATACTTGAGACCTTAGAACTTATATCTCAAGGTGCGTGGTGCATTTACGTTATAGCTGTCTATGGGCTCCAGTAACTACTTAACACTACGAGCTTGTCCACCCATATAAATCTAATAAAAAATAAAAAAAACAAAATTGACACTTAAGAGGTTATTGAAAGGTATTAAAACTCTATTCCTATCCGGATTGGCTGATTTCGACTTTTCCAAAGAGACTGCGAACAACACTCCAGTATAGATCTAATTCGAATTCCCGATAATCCTGTCACTTGTCATAAAGGCAAGAAACAAAAAAAAAAAAC